GAGCTGGGTCCAGTACAGGGACTATAGTTTACATTCCCACCAAGTATGTAGAGAGTTCCTTTTTCCTCATCTCTTACCAGTAGTTATGGTCTTCTTCTCTTTTTTAATGTACTTGGTACAGGGTCTCACTATGCAGCTTGGACTCGTAGTGATCCTCCTGTTTTCAGCCTCTCCAGGGCTGGGACTACAGGCGTGTGCCCCTAAGCCTGGTCTCGGTGGCTGGCACAGGTGCTGGGTGTGGGGCTAGCTTGGCACATGGTGTCAGGGACTGAACCCTGGTGGTCTTCTGTATTTTTAATGTTAGCTCTTCTGAGCAGGATGAGATGGAATCTCAGTGTAGTCTGACTTTTCATTTCTCTTAGGGCTAGAGATGTTGAATATTTTTTCACATCCCTTTTGGTTATCTGAGCTTCTTTCACATACCCTTTGGTTATCTATTCAGCTCATAGGCCTGCTTCTTTTTTAGTAGGAGACGGGGAGGGGACAAACAGGGGGAGGTTATTGTGATTGAAATTGATTAGGATATGTGAAATGCCTCTGTCATCATCCTGTAACACTAACATGTATTCATGAAGTACAATCATAAATATGGTGGTGCAATCCTCACCCCTCATCTGTGGGTTTGCTTTTTATCACTGTGATACACTGTCAAAAATATTAAACGGGAAATTCCAGAAATAAAGCATTTTGTAAGTTTGAAGTTGTCAGCTGTTCAGAGCAAGGTGATGGAGCCTTGAGCCAACCGGCTCCAGCCACCTGGGACATGAATCACCCTTTGGTCCAGAGTATCCACGAAGCATGTGCTATCCACCTGATAGTCACTTGGATGCCCCTTGGTTGTCTTTTTTATTATTAATTTTATTGAGAAACAAATAGCAAAGAGACAGTTTCAAAACAGGTTAGTAGGACAGTTACAATAATTAATACATCGCATCTTGTTGTCTTCATAATAGTTATTCATAGTACAAGATGTAGACATGATATCCTGTCCAAACACTAACAGTACAAATCTTTCTTCTCATTGAATTAAGGGAAAGTAGCTGTATATGTATCCTAACTATTTTGTATATACAGACACAACATGGTCCTTCATTTATATCCCCTTTTTTGTTTAGCTTTGTCAGAGATGTAACGATCACTCATGTATCATAGTGCTTGAGTTCAAGTAACCTTTGTTTTAGCTAACAATAGCCTCAAACACAAGACCAGTGAAGCTGATAACTTGGTTATGCCTGAGAGAAGCTCTAAAGTGTTTCCTGTAAGTGGAAAGATGACCTAAAAAGGAAAGAAAAGCAGGGAATAGTGGTACATGCCTGTAACCCCAGCACTCTGGGAGGCCAAGGAAGGAGGATTGCAATCTCTACTACTACGTTAAAAAAATAAATGAATAAATAAATACATAAATACATTCAGTGCTCCCTGTTTATGGAGTTGTCTCAGTTACTTTTCTCTGGTTGCTGAGACCAAATACCCAATGCCCAAAAGGAAGGAGGGAAAGGTTGACTTAGCTCAGTTTGTGGAGGTTTCAGTCCATACTCAGCTGACTCCAAGGCAGACAGGCACAAGGCAGAGGGCAACCATTCATGTGGGTGGAAAACAGCAAAACAGCAAGAGCAAAAGGGCAGGAGCAGAGGCAACTACAACAGCAGCAGAGGTGGAGGGGAGCCCCCTCTTCTTTCCTTATATTGCTTCAGGCTATCTGCCCCAGGATGGGTGCAGCACTCACAGCCATAATCCCAGCAGCACTCACTCCCATAATCCCAGCAGCACTCACTCCCATAATCCCAGCATTGGATCCGGAATTAATCACAAACTCTAGAAGCCCACCACAATGACTACATGAGGCTTTGGGGGATAACTAGATACAAACCATAACAGGAGTCCATATTTGTGAATCCGCTCTTGCTAAAGTTGATGTGTACCCCCAATCAATTCTTGCACAAGAAGAGTAGTACAAGTTTATCAAGTGATGGGCTCATTCCCGGCTGGGGTGGAACAGGGTGACATGTATCTGCCTGCGTCAGCTCTCATAGCGTGAGCAAGAGTCCAAAAATTCAGCCTTGACCTTATTGTGGCGTTTCCATATTTGCAATGCTCTTTGTTGGTGATTTGGCTGTGGAAAGTGGCCCATGGATAGGATAGTACTGAAGTTCTGTCCCGTGTTCCTGACAGCATGGAAGCTGTGATGTGCCTTATGGGAAAGAGGCATGTGTCAGGCGACATGTGTCACTTGGGATGAAGTCACACAGCTATGGACTGTGGGCTCAGTCTTAGCGAATCAGCTGTGTTGGTTAACTGGGTGTGTTTACACAGAGTCATGCATTAAATGTATTGATCTATGCATCAGTGGGTGAAAACCTGTGACTAGAGACACATGGAAGCTAACGCCAAATCTGTCCTGGGAGCACTGTGCAGTATTTGCTAATCCAGTCTTTGCAGCTTGTTAAAGAGCAAAATCACCAGGATGGCCGAATGTACAACAGAGGGATCCCACTCAGTGGTGAAGGCTGGTAGTGAAGTGAATCAAGAGGAGGACAGAGGGTTGCTGGGATGGGCTGGGATGGAGGAATCTGCCTTCCAGTGCGCTGTCCCTCGGCTGCACCCACAAGTCCATGGGTGGCTGTGGGGAGCTGCAGTGGCATGGGCGTGGGCATTCAGCACCGTGGTTCCCCAGAACCCAGGGTAGCCAACAGCAGACCCCATTTCCTCCAGCAGCATGGACATATTTGAATCAGTGTGGAAAATGGGTTCCTGAGAGTTGCCTCTAGCCCCCAACACCCCCAGACTGTACTTGTGAGAGTTCAGGCTGCAGTTAACATCTCCATGGCTTGGCTCGAACCCCTACCTCCAGGATACAACTCTGCTGTCTCGCAGAGCTACTGCACAGGGTGGTGTTTCACCGCAGTACTTCTAAGGTGGAACAGAACTGGTGGGATTAACAGGAAGGGTGACAAATGTCCAGAGGATGGTGATTGTGGCTCCTTGCATTTCAGAGATGGAACAGCCCCGCCACAAGATCAGTTGAACCTGACAATTAAAATGGTAGCTTTGGAAACGGTGTTTACATGGGGCAGGGGACAGAATGTGAGGTTTGAAACTGGATAATCATGAGGCTTCTTAGGTGAATGACACTGGGAATGTTCTTTCTCTTCTCTGGGATCAGTTTTTCTATCTGAAAAATGGGTCTCATAACATACACTGTGGATTCCATGGAGCCCATAGTATTCAGCATTAAATCTAGTTCCTTCCTGTGACAGGAATATGCTTGAAATCCATAGGAAATGGGGACTTTGATTTCTGCCTGGCTGGGAGGATGCATTCAGATGTGCTGTAAGTTGGATAGTCACGTAGCAAATGGGCTCTACGGTTGGAGCAAAGGGATGAGAGAAGTGGCCTCGGGAAAACAACTCTGCTTTTCCAGAGCCTTGTTATCTTTCCAGCCTCACAAGATTGTTGTGAGAATTAAATGACGTAAGGTCTGAGTAGAGGCTGAGAGGAGGTGGTATGGTTGGCTGTCCCACAGTAAGCACCCAGGGGACATTATGGCAATGCTTTGTTAAGCCCTCACTTGGATGATGATGATGGGGACCATGAAGACGATGTTGAAATGAGATCAAATTTTGTCATATGGAAAAACTGGAACCATAGGTGGAAGAAATGTGCAATGGTGCAGGTGGTTCAGCAGAGTTACCACGTGAGCCCGCAGAAGGTATAATATGCCCAGAGTTCTAGGTGTCCACACAAACATTTGTACATCTATCATCAACTCTTTTATTCTCTCTGCCGTCATTACCATCACCATCAGCAGCCGTGCAATGCACAGCCACCAAAAGGTTGGAGCAAGGGATGGACAACCTCAGCTGATGGACACAGAAACAAAACAGAGCGTACACGTATCCCCCTGCTGTAAAAAGGAGGTACTGACACATGCTGTGACATGGGTGAGCCTTGAACGCATTATGCAAAGTACAAGAAGCCAGACAGAAAGCAGGTTAGTGGTTGCCAGGGGCTGGCGGGAGCTACAGCATGGTTGCAGGTGGGCATGGGTTTTCTTCTGTACATGACGGACGTGTTCTGGAACTTTACAGAGGCAGTGGTTATGCAACGTTGTGAATGTGCTAAATGCCACAGAGTTCTACACTTTAAAATGGTTCGTGGGATTTGTACATTTTTAAAGAAGAACTTTGATAAAATAGAAAACTACCCTGAAGTTAGTGACGGAAGGTTAATGTCACCAGATCTCTTGGTGGGTCATGAAATTGTGGCTGTCCTAGAGAGGAGGAGCTGGGTGGCATTACTGAGTGGGGGTCCATGCCCCTGTGCCCTGTCCTATCTCCTTGGTCACCTGCACGGAGTGGGGTCACTACATCTCTTTGGGTCCATGCAGGGAGGTCCTGGGGTGGAGACAGGATCCAGCAGGACGTGTGGTTTAGTCACATGTCACATTCCACCAACGTCAAATTGCTTTAGTGACAGATAGGTCATGTTTTTCATTTGTCCTTACATGGATTCCTCGTGCGTATGTTATGAACCGGAAATTCAAAGTCCTTCCTTGGTTTTAGGTTTCGTGCTTTCTGGGGTTGTGGTAAATGATCTCTTTTGATTGGGAGGGTTGGAAGGAGTAGTTCCTGATGCTGCTATCAATCTATGGGATGTCTAACCAGGCCTTGAATTCCCTCAGAGGGCTCCGGGGAAAATTCTTAATGTTGAGGGGTTCAGACCTGGACTGGAAGCCCCAACCTACTGCTTATTGGCTGGGTGACCTCAAGTACCTCATTCTTCTAGAAAATTCTTTGATTCACCCGATGTGAAGTGGAGACTGCAGCAGCATTCCTTCCTTTGGGTGGTGTGAGATGATTCACGTAACTCAAGCATGGCTCTCCTATTGCATGTTGCTGTCTTCAGTGCAGTTGCTTAGTTCACAGGTATCAGCATATATAGTTAGTCAGGGTAAGAATCCTACCAATTAACTGCTAGTTTCAAAAACCTGCTGAAGAGACATGAAAGCGGCGGTGAGGATGGTGACTCGCAGCCAAAGCCAAGCAACTGGCTTTGGGTCGCTGGGAAATGGGGAAGAGCCCCCTCCGCCTGGGAACCGAGAGGTGGCTGCAGGTAAAGGAAGAAAAAAACACAGGCCTGTGAAACGACAGCGGAAGGTGCAGAAACTGCACGTGGCCTATGAGGCCTCAGATGGTGAGAAAAATGAGGGGACTGACCCCCTTGAGGTGACAGTTTGGGAGCCACGGGACTGGAAGCAGGAGCTAGCCAATATCCGCACCATGAGAAGCAGGAAGGATGCGCCTGTGGACCAACTAGGGGCTGAGCACTGCTATGACTCCAGTGCCCCACCCAAGGTACAAAGATACCAGGTGCTGCTAGCTCTGATGCTTTCCAGCCAGACCAAAGACCAGGTGACAGCAGGCGCCATGCAGCGACTTCGGGCCCGGGGTCTGACAGTAGACAGCATCCTGCAGACAGATGACAACACGCTAGCAGTGGACACACACGTGCACAGAATTGCTAATCGACTGAGGTGGACCAAGAGAATGACCAGATCCCCTGAGGAGACCTGCATTGCCCTAGAAGAGTGGCTGCCCAGGGAGCTATGGAGTGAGGTCAACGGGCTATTGGTGGGCTTTGGCCAGCAGATCTGCCTGCCCGTCCATCCTCGCTGCCAGACTTGCCTCAACAAGACCCTTTGTCCTTCTGCCCAGAGCTTCTAAGGGCCATGAGGCTTCAGCTTGGGTCCTGTTGTTGCTGTTACCTATGAAGTGCCTTTGGGGAGGGGGTCACAACCTGTGTAATAAAGCTTGGGGATTGTTTGTAAAAAACAAAACAAAACAAAAAAAAGCCTGCTGAAGATTCTCAGGATCATTGCCTGAGATATAAATGCATGGCTTTGCCCCTGTCCCGTTTCCTAGCTTTTCTCCTTGCCTTCCACTACTATGGACTACTGGACTATATTGGAATATTTTGCTGAATTCTCGCACCTACAATATTTAAATGACAATGGAATACCCTTCTGTGACAAAACTAAACAAAAAAAGGGGATACAAATGAACGACCATTTTGTATCTGTATATTCAAAATAGGATAGATATACAGCTACTTTCTCTTAATTCAGTGAATAGAAAGATTTGTTCTAATAGTGTTTGTGGACAGGATATCATGTCTGCATCTTGTACAATATGCAATGTATTAATTATTGAAACTGTTCTAATCGGTTTTGAAACTGTCTTATTGCTGTTTGTTTCTCGATACAATTATTAAAAAAAAAAAATATCTGGACTAGTCCTTGGCACATAACATGTACTCAGTAAATAGTGACCATGATTACCATTAACAGCAAATAATGGTAGCAATGTCAATCAGTACTAAAGTTGAGTTTCCTTTATCTTGAAGTCTTGAGTCCAGAAGTGGTTTGGATTTCAGGTTTTTCCCCTTAGATTTTGCATAGTGGGATATCTTAGGGAACGGGACCCTGTCTGAACACAAAGCTCATTTATGTTTCATCCACTCCTTCCACAGGCAGATCAAAAGGCCTCTTATTCAGTATTTTTAGGGTGCCTGCGTATTTACTGTTAAGCCATCACGGGAGGTCAGGCGTGGAATTGGCCACTTGTGGCAGCCCTGGAAAAGTTTCGGGTTTTGGAGCATTTTGGATTTGGGGACTGGGAATGTGCAATCTGTGTTAGCAGTCATTACCGTTACAATGACTAGCTGTCCCCATGAGGATAAGGATTTTCAAATAGTAACTAAAAGTTCTGCTTCCTGCCAGAAAGTTGTAAGGATTAAACTAACAAGCGTGTTGAGATATTCATGAAAGTTCCAAGGAGCAGTAACCCTGGAATAGGGGCTCCTGCCACCTGTCCCTCTGAAAAGCTAAGGTGAATACATGCTCTGCCGCGGACTCAGAGAGGCAGACGAGTTCTCAGCCCCGTGTTAGCCTGCTTATACAGTTTTAATGGGAAGGGACAAAGAAGTCAGACACTTGCCTAGACTTTCGGAAATAATTTTCTCCCTTGAGAACGGCTTTCATTTCCCCTACTCCCTTGTCAGAAAATGTCAAAAGAAAAACCCCTACACCTTGAAATGCCTTTAATCAATCCTCAGACCTTTCATTTCTTCAAACCCATTCCCTTTTCCCCGCCCATTTCTAGACTTGAAATAAAATGATTTCCCAGAAACGGATGACAAGATAGGAAGGGTGGCGATCAATAACCCCCAGAGCCTCTTGCTGCCACACCTTCTCCATTTAAATGAAAAATTACCTTTTCTCCCCTCAGCCTTTATTAAAAAGAGGATCAAAAGGGAGAGCATAGAGCTGATATAATACAGTCCCTCCGCGAGGCACGGAGCGGAGTGGAGTCCCCGTCAGTTTACCAGCTGGCAATTTGGGTAATGAAATAAGACTTTTTCTTCTTCATCCCCCACACTTCTGATTTTCAAATGCAGGAGGGGAGAAGGGAGAAGGAGGGAGGGAGAAGGTTTGATGGGCTGGGAATAAGAGGGGCTGAGCGTTTCCTCCTTCCTTCTCCACTGTCAGACTCAGCCAACTTTAAGAAAGGCGCCATGGACATGGGGACAGCCCGGTGTCTCGTGAACTCAGTGCAATGTCTGCGAACCCACCTGTCTTTAGGGGCAGCAGGCTCCTGCTCAGCTGCGTGATGCCGGGTCAGGAAGAGGGAAAGTGCAGGTGTAGGGTGCTATCAGCTCTGGGAGCTGATATTAGCCACCTCCTTTCGTTTATCCAATACTCACTGCTGAAATACATTAGGACCCTTGCGCTACGGGGAGGCAGGAGGAGCTCCGAAGCCCCTAACTGTGACACTGTGAGAGCCAGTCTCCTACCCTGTGCATGACAACTCCATGCAGTAGCGACAAATCCATCCCACACCAAGTAGCTTAAGACCATGAATATTGATTTATGCACTGCAGGCTGGAAGTGTGAAATCAAGGTGTCTGCAGCGCCCCAATCCCTTAAAGCCTCTGGGGGACATTTGTCCCGGGCCTCTCTGTCCCAGCTTCTGGTAGGTGTTGGCCATCCAGGGTGTTGCTTGGCTTGGAGCCGCATTGCTCCAGTCTCTGCGTCTGTCTTCACTCCAGCTTCTCTGTGTGTTCCCTCATCTTTGGGTAAGGACGCCAGGCACTAGATTGGTGTAAACTCGCCTTGTTTGCACTCGGAGCGCTGTAGGTTAGGACTTCACAGGACATGGTTCACCCCACAGCACGGGCTCAGTCACATTTAATCCCATGAATTTGCTTTCTAGGGGGGCAGGGATAAGGTTTTTGAGCACGGGATACTGGTTTTTGAGCACGGCTCCGCGTCAGGCATGAGGCATGTTATGCATGTACTTTATTTCACCTTTCAGACGTGACAGAAGGATCTAGACTAATTGGTATCACCTATATTTTACAAATATTTGTACATCACTTGCTGCGTGCTAGGGATTAAGCTAAGTGTTCTACTTGCCACAGAACAGTCTAGGGGGAAACTCATTATTCTCATTCCACAGGTGAGAAAACTGAGTCACAGCAAGCAAATGGAAGGGCAAGTTAATTCCAAAGTGTCACGTGGCAGAGCCCAGGGTTTCCTGTACACGGTAAAAAAGTAAACCCTCCTAATTTCTTGCTTGCTAGCGATCCTTTTTCTTTTCTTTCTTTTTTTCTTTTTTGCAGAACCGGGGATTGAACTCAGGCCCTTGCACTTGCCAAGGAAGCGCTTATTCCACTGAGCCATCTCCCCAGCCCCTTTCTTTTTCTTTTTGTGTGGAAGAAAGGCTTCTGAATGAACGCAGAGGCGCCTCCCCTCTTGAGAAGGGATCAGCCTGTGAGGGACATTCTCCCGGCCCACCTGTGACTCTGGGTCGTGCGATGTCTGCTCTGGAGGTTCAGCATCAGACAGGAGAGAAGAGAGCAAGAGAATTTGATTAAATCATGTCATGTCTTTGTAAAAAAGAAAAAGAAAAAGAAAATCAAAGATGAGCCTGACACTGTCTTGGGTAGGCTCTGGGGATTTTAGAATTTAATGATCCATCCTCTTAGGATAGAAAAATGACTTTTTCCCAGGGCATGATCCCACGATGCCTGGGGAGAAGAGGCAGGGGAGGGTCAGCCACAGCCGAGCATCTCCCGCTAGGCATCTTGCAGGAACTGCTCATGCGGCCTGACCTAGCCATCTTTGTGGGCTCACCTCTGTCTCCTGTGTTCCCTAACACTGAATTCAGTGCTGCACCCATGTTAGCAGGGGGACATCAATCTGGAGTGGAGGGTACAGAGCACACCCCAACTCCGGCTGCCTTTTTCCTGGCTGTGTGGCCTCTAGCAAATCCCTTAACCTCTCTGTGACTCAGTTTCCTCATCTATAAAATGGTACTTTTTGCTTATCCCAAAGGATGCTTGTGTGGCTATAGAACCTTGGTACATAGTCAGTTCTCCTTAGATGTTGACTGTTTAGGGGCCTTGCACACAGTCAGTAGCCCTTTCTCCATCTTTGTTGCCTCCTGTATCCCAGCTCCCTAGCGTTTCCCATCCAACCACCTCCAGCAGCCTCAGGCTGGGCTCCTGCCACCCCCAGATGTGTCCCTCCCCTGCACACAATAAGTCCTGCTGAGCAATAAGGACAGATGCCCAGTGTGCCCATGGGTGTGCCCAGCATTTCTTGGCTGTCTTAATGACCAGAGGACACAAAATGTGGTGGGTGTGTAGCACCATCCTTTGCCCTTTAACAGTGGGGACCAATAACAAACTTCAGGATGAGGACTCTATCCAGTGGGCTATGTTACTTTTAAGCCAGTTGCTCAGGGTCAGGGGCTGTCATATGACAGGAACATCAGGAGCAGGGTCCTGACCTTGAGGAGCCGGGACCACTTCCCAGGCCTTCCCTTGCTGGGAGCAGGGCCTCGGGTCCCACTGAAACTCACACATACCTCATCCTCCTTCATGATCCAAGGAACATGAGCTTCTCTCTTGGCATGGCTGCTGGGCCAGGGCCTCACTCTGGGCCTGCAGCTGCAGCCGGAAGATCCCAGCTTCCCCATGCCCACGAGAGCTGGCAGGTTCACAGAGGCCCTGGTGTCACCTCTGACACAGGCGTCTGCATTTGGAATTGTGAGTACTCACTGAATCATTTCACCACCGTGAAATTCACATCATATACAGCTCACTACTTTACACTCCACAGCATCTGGTGCATTCAGCGCCGTGCAAGCATGGCCAATAGGTAGCTCCTAAGCTTCGTCATCACCCAAAAAGAGACCACAAACTTATTGATGGTTGCTTCTCTTCCCCTACTACCTCCAGTGCCAGACAACCACAAATCAATTCCACGTCTCTATAGATTTGCCTCTTTGAGATGTTTCATTTAAGCGGTATCATGCAGTACGTGACCTTTCGTGTCTGGAGTTTTGCACTTTGCATTGCGTCTTCACGGTTCACCCAGGATGTCCCAGGGATCAGCACTGTGTTCTTTTTGTGGCTGAGTTGTGGTCTCTTGAGTGGACAGTCCACAGGGGACCTGTCCATTCTTCAGTTGGCAGACAATGGTGATTGCGAGTGGTGCTGCTGGGAACCTCTGTGAACGCGTATTTGAGCACTTACTTCCGTTCTTTGGGGTCTCTGCCTAGGAATGCGGTTGTAGCGAGCACGTGCGGGACTGCACGTCTTTCCCAGTAGACCATGAACCTCGCAAGGGCCAGGGAGAGAGATTTCCAGCCCCAAGGCTGATGGCGCAGCTTTCACAAGAAGAGTCTCAGGCACCCAGAGCACACATTCCTGTCATCCACCAGGTGTCTGCATTATTGTCACCTCTGGGCTCTG